TGAAGCGCAGCGTCAATTTCAGTCGAGCAGCGGCGCATTGCTCAACTCAGTCAAGTGAAGGATGGAATTCGAGTCGAGGAGCGTTTCTGAATACGGGGGTAAGACGCACATATAGAACAGAACCCGGCTGGGGCTGTTTTTTTTTTTTTTTTTCGGTCTGCAGCTTGTAGGTGAGTGCCTAACTTCTCATTTATTCGCCGTTTGGGTTGCAGCTCGTGCCACTAACGATCAGTGTCATGTAGTACCTCAGATTAGGCCACTTCGAGTAAAGCCCAGGCGCTAAGGGCAGTGTTCCTTTGTCGATGTCGTTTTCGCGCGGCTTGTATCATGCATGCTTTTTTACTGAGACGGAGTGCGTAGTGAGATCAGAAAATACAGCATTCACGGAAATCGCCGATTGATTGTGCTGGTCGTGTTTACATTTCGGGCGTGACATTTTCATTGCGCTTTGGTTAACGCAGGTAGACTGTACCGAATGAATTCAAGGCAAAAAACCCTGTATAGTCGCAGCAAAGCGGCTGTGGAGATTCCCCAGTTCTTTCCAGCGAAGAACTTGAAGCAATGGCAGATGTCTGTCAGCCGCCTTTCCATGTATGATACATGTGGGCTGCATGAGAGGTCTCTGTCAATTATAACAACCAGGAACTTGTACGATAGGAGTTAAAGTATCCTTTTGCTGTTTATCAGAACGACGTAGTTCTGTATTGGTTTGCACGTAAACGACACAAGTGCACATTTCTCAGAGGAAAGTTTTAGACCTCGTTTAAGGATGTAAATAGCAGTCTGAGTGGCAGATCTCTGAGTTCGCGCTCGCAGTTGGAGACGTGTTACTGCAGACGTCCAAACGCAGATGGCGTACGCCTACATTGACAGTCTGAATGTACTTGGCAGATGCACATGGAGAGTGATTAGCGTCAGGTTGAATAGTACAGGGCTAAGTACGCCACCCTGGGGACCACCACGGTGGCTGTAATGTAGTGAACTGTTACCATCCTAGCTTCTCACGAAAAAGAATTGCTCAGAGAGATAGCTGCGTATTCACTGAAACATCCGACCACCCAATCCTACCTCTTTGAGAGCGTTGAAGATGGTTTCATGAGTGGCATTCACATACGCCCTTTTAGCATCAAAAAATAAAGAAGCGCACAGACGAGTACGGCCTTTTATGTGTTGCACATAGCTGACCACGTCTATGACACTGTCGATTGATGATCGGCCACGGAAAAAAACCGTCATATCGCCTGCGTAGATGTTGTGATGCTACAGGAACCATTCTAGTCGTTGTTGCGACTGGCGTTTGTGGCATCGGAGATCTGGGATTAAGATGTCGAGGCAGGAGGAAGTTGAACTTCGTAGAGAGGGTTTATTTACATTATTTACATGGCACCGGCTTTCTGTCCCGAAGCTCTGTATTGAAAGCTCTACATTGAACAGGCTGTCTATTGAACAAGCTCCGTGAACCACACTGAACAACCCGGGAGGGCTGATTAAATACAGTCTCCTCTCCCCAGTTCTCCAGATCGGGGAGAGGTGACTGTATAATAGCTCCTTACGACACTGTCCAATAACATGTACCACAGCACGCACGAGTGTTATTATGCTGGCACCACTCCCAACAAACACACATACACAAATCAAACACGTGTTTAGTCCCTGCGATACTGCCTCCTTCGGCGAATCTTGCTTGAGCGCGGTGTAACCAGTCTGTCATCTCACGGTCGCGCCGACCACCCATGCTTTGTCGAACGGCACTAGTGGTCTAGGCGCCTCCAGGGAGGCAGGCCTGGACATCTGGTGCTGATTTGAGCATCGGCGGCTCATCATCAGTCAGAGACGCACAGCGTGATGGTCCAACGTCCGCAATTGGCGGAAGCTCGGCATTGTGGCTTTTACCGGGGCAAAAAGATGGCACGTGTCGCATATCTGCGCGGACCCGAAGGACAGTGGTGCTCCATAGAATAATTCCAGCCACGCAGCGCCCAGCACACGGAAACAGCCGGGTGTCTTGGCGCTGCTCCTTATCTCCAGAAAAGGAGGCGGCTGCCTTTATTCCGCTTTGGCAGCCGCGGCAAAAGGGTAGCCCGCCAAACGCAACACCATCCTAGTACCATCCCCTCCATTACTTTGCCCAAGAAACTAGCCAGTGCAATCAGGTGGTATGATGTGAGGATCAATGGTGACTTGCCAGGCTTCAGTAATGGTGCCAAACGGCTGGTCTTTCAGTTAACTGGGAGGCTGCCCTCTCACCACGAATCATTGTGTATCTCGAAGAGGGCACTTCTCGCACCCTCACCAAGGTGACACAGTGCTCTGTAGAATATTCCATCAGGCCCGGGTGCTGATGTCCGTCTACGCAAAGCCAGAGCTGCTTTACGCTCATGAAAAGAAAAATGTTGGTCTATGCGGTGATCGCGTGATGTCGTGCCAGCACGTGAGTGTGTGGAGAGGTCGGGATCTGCGAACTGACTAGATCATTTGGCACAGAACTCTTCTGCCACGTCGACCTCCGATCTTTATTGAGAGAGGTCGAGGGCCTTGATTGAAGGCCGCTTAATGGGAACTGTCTTGAGCCCTCTTACTGTCCTACATGTGATAAAGGCTTGCGGAGATATAACAACGCGCAGAAGGCTGCCCAACGTTGTGACTCTAGCTTGTCCATGTGGCGTTGTATCTTCTTCTGAAGACGTCTAGCCATTCTTAAATCGTTGATTACTTTCGTGCGTCTGTACCTTCGTTCCGTACGCCGTCGCATATCCCGACGTCATTTTCTAGTTCTACATGAAATTCCGTTACCCTCGAAGAACATGTGAGGGTGCACACCATGTCTTGCACTGTTGACTTGATCACCTCTTTTAAGTCAAATGAGGTGTTCTCTTGACAGCATTCTCCCATGAGAGATTCAAACTTGGTCCAGTCCACTCTTTGGAGAGTGTCGCGTACCCTGCAAGTTGAGAATCCTCTGATCTTGATATATGTGGGAATGTGGACGCTCCCATGTGTTTCTATGTCCAACAACCATCCGGCACACCGGAGGAGACTTCGAGAGACAAAAGCCAAGTCAAGGCAGCTGCTGTATCAGAGGTCACGTAGAAATGTGCGAATGCCATCATTTAACAAGCACAGCTAGTTGTCTAAAGCAAATGTTATCATACGTTTGCCCTCTGCGCTGATCTTCGGGCTCCCCCATAACGTATGGTGGGCGGTAATCTCCCCGATGAATACTCACGGGCCAGAAGTGGATGATAGGATGTGTCCTAGTCTTCTATGTCAAATGTATTTGATGGTGACAGGTAGGCGCGACAACAGTGGCCATAAGACTCCTTCTTTTCATCACTTTTTCAGGTTAGATACAGTCGTTTTTTTAATAAGCATGAAATTCAAGGCAAGTTTTATTGAAGATTAAGTCACCGATACTCTACTCTGTGGGTTATTTCATCAGAAACAACTATATTCTTATTTATGAATAACGTGCGTTGGGGCCTCCTGACTTTTAAAGAGTGCGCGCGCGCCGCTTCTTTATTCTGGCCGTGGAGTTTGATTGATATGTGCGGTTTAATGTCCCAAAACAATTATATGATTATGAGAGACGCCGTAATGGAGGGCTCCGGCAATTTCAACCACCTCGGTTTCTTTAACATGTCCCCAAATCTGAGCACACGGGCCTACAACATTTCCGCCTCCATCGAAAATGCAGCCGCCGCAGCCGTGATTTGAACCCGCGACCTGTGGGTCAGGAGCCGAGTACCTTAGCCACCGCGGCGGGGCTTTTTTTTGCACACTTTCAAGTCTATGTGCTTTGTTCATTACTAGCTTCTAAATGTAAATTGTTTACATAATGGAGTGCAATAGTGCCAGCTTTTGTATACTGCATTGGAACGTTCTTATTCTTTTCAGAGAGAACTCAAATATTACAGGGCAAGTAATTGACTCATGTTGATTAGTGTGGAGATATTTTTCAAGCCCATATATCATCACGTTCATATTTTGTTGCATACATTTGATTCAACACACCTATTCTAAACCTACTGTTTTTAAAGTTACACTGGTGTTATACCTGGGACATAATTATTATTCGCAGTGCAGCAGAAGGCACGAAAATAACATTAAAAAGTGTGGTTTTAAACATTCTAATGAACTAAATCTAAATACATTACAGTAAATCTTATGATTTGTGGAGATCAATGTCATGTGAAAAAGTCAATGATAAGCTGTCTTGGCAGCATTTTTTCACTCCTTGAGTAGATTGTTACTAGGTTGATAGATATTTTTGCGTAAACTTAACAGCTGTCAGCATATTAAGGGCTTACCAGGCATCTCGATCGCACTGATGCCTAAGGAGTAGCTGATGGTACAGTATTATGCCTGTACTTATATCCGTGCTTTTAAAAGCACAAACTTCAGGATCATCTAAATCAGGTGCGCGTCAAGGTGCGATGATATGCATATCAGAATTTTGCCAGGTAAAACAGCACTTTTTGTAGGTTGTTGAGTCATATATGAGTGCATATTTATTGTTTACCGCATTGTTTTAAACGAGGATGGCCAACATTACGAAAACACTAGACATTGCTTCAATACGATGCCTGATTAGTCTTTTCTGGAGCATTTACCACCACTAGTGCGGCTATGTACTACCTGGAATTCCAACGTGCAAATGCCGCCACAACTATGATATTTATTGTATCTTTTCATTGGAATTTTTTACTCGTTATGAAGCTGCTGCTATTGGCAACAGATGTTCTTATGTACTGTCTCTTTAATGCTTACTCAGAGATTTCCAAAGGGCATTCTGGCTGTTCCTGAGTTAACATAGGCAGTGAATCAATCACATGTCGGTCATACCCACATCCCACATGCAGTAATTCGCAGGTATTCACACACGTGACTGCTGAAAAGAGTTTCACATCGTATTATACAAGCATGTCACTATATTTGTCATGGGGCCTTGACACATTGGTTACAATGTCACACTCACTATTCATTATCTTCCAGGTGCTGCTTCTATTGTTCTTGGGCCAGCTGTCGCCTCTCATGCCAGCGCCACTATGACTGTTCATGCCACAAGCACCTTAGTGACCTGATGTTGCAGAAATTTGTGTCACTGCATCACCAGCAAAGTATCAAGAGTAAGCATTTTCTCTACATCCACCACTGCCAATTCTGGACGGTTCACTGTTCTCAGCCCAGCAGCATGGAACAGTGACAGGTGATCAAGCAGCTCATAAGCACACCTATATCTTCGTTGCATGAAGCTATATAGTACTAAAATCCAGATTTAATACTCAGTGTTAATGTTCTTCCATGTTAGTGAGTGTGAAACAAGCATGTACCATGTAGATAATGTTTACTTTGTTGTCGTTATCTAGTTTGAAATTGGTTTTCGACATCGCACATTCAAAGCATAGCCTCCGAAAAGTGACCTTCGAGACCCGCAGTTGTAATTTCTGCATTGAATTTGACACTCACAACTTCGAGCCGTAGTGAGTGCAAACATTTAGTGCTGGCAACGTAGCACGAGTACTCCAAACCTTGCTGGTATCTTGTTACTGTGTTTGACAGCATACCAAATTAGTCAACTATAGCAGAAAAAGTTGTAACAGCACCAATTAGGGCATCCAAAATTCAATGGGATGAGTGGAAGTGCCATGAAAGAGTTTTTATAAATGGTAAGCAACTATATCTTGGTTTTGAGAGTGCATGTTTAGGCCACTTTTCAACTAGTAAGATCAAACCCATTATTGCCAACTTCTATAACAATTGCGAAGTTTAATCTGTGATGAGTAGCAGCTTTTCTGTTGAAAGGTGAGGCCTCTAGCTGGAAGTTTGTAACATCATTTTCAATTATGAGTGCGGCTTCCATAAGTTTTTCGTGTCTCACTGGACTTGCTGGCCTTTTTGACTGTATACATTTGTTACTTGACATGGGCTCTCAGGTTGACCCATTGTTTTCATATTTTTCTAAAGCTCTTGATAGGGTTTCTCAGTACATATTTTACTAACACAGCAAAACTTTCCTCTCAATTTCTCTTTGATTAAAGGGTTTCTTTTGTGCATAACTCCGTTTACATATGTTGAAAAGGCTGTTGAAAATGACAACTTTTTTTCTGCTTATGTGACATCTGGTGTATTTCAAAGAAGTGTGCTCAGTGTAGACCTGTAACCAGAAAGGTGCCCCAGGGGTTTGTCCCCCCTAAATTGCATGTTGTGGGTTGTCCTATTGAGCATAAGTAATGAAAAAAGTGAGTCATTTTTCATGGCCATCAACATGTGCCCCCTTCCCATGAAAAAAATTCCTGGCTATGGGGCTGTCTATGAGGTTGTTATTTCTTCTTGCTTGTTTGTCATACACTTTGTTTTTACCTTGCATTTTCTGCATGTGTACGAAATACAGGGTGTTTCAAGAAATGTGTCCAATATTTTCTAAAACTTAGAAAAATGAGGTACTTGCGGGCTAGTTGGGGCATTGCCTTTCCTGTTACAGAAGGAATGTTCAGATGCATACAAATGTTAATTACAGCAGTATTTATAGCAAATAAGACAATAACCTTTTTTACCAGTTGTAGTAGCTGGTCGAGTCAAATGTGCAAATTCAAGTACTTCCTATGAAAAGTCGATAGCCCCTTTGAAATTTTTGAAAAGCAGCCACTGGTCATCACCATGGGTCAATGCAATCCGCCTAAATTAGCTGGTGAAACGAAAACATATGCACCAGACAGCACATCTACTATTCGCTTCGACAATGCTCTCAATGACGACACTGTTTCTATAGCTGTTATCAACCGTCAATTTAGACACTTTGCTTTGTGCCCGCTTATCGACGCTCGCTTATTCTTCTTCCCCAATGCAAGAGAAACATTGTCATTGAGGGCATTGTCAAAGTCAATGGCAGATGCACTGTTTGGTCCGTTGGTTTCGGTTTCACCAGCTAAATTGGGCAGAATGCATCGCTCTGCAATGATTATTAGGGGCTGCTTTTCCCAAATTTTAAACTGGCTATGGACTATTTGTAGGAAAGGGTTCTATTCGCCCATTCGACCCGACCGGCTATTACCATGTGTATATAGTTAATTGTGTTAATTTATATAATTACTGCTAGAAATAATGTCTGTACCTATCTGAAAGTGCCTTTGCTACAGGAAGGCAATGCCACATGTAGCACGCAAAAACCTCTTTTTTTTAATTAAAAAAAACTTGACACATTTTTTGAAGCACCCTGTATATCTGTTGATGTTATCACTGATGAGTCATTTCATGCCAAATCATCCAGCGCTTTTCTGACCATCATAAATATGGCTGATAAAACTTCCACATGTTTCTTGAAGTGTGAAACTCATCCTGGTCATTTATTTTCGTTGCCAAAAATTTTCTTCCCCATATACAAGGGTTTGTAGTTTGGCTCCAAGTGAGGTAAAAGGCGTCAAACAATTTTTTCAAAAGAGGTTTTTAGAATGCCCTTGATAGAAGACATTTCTGGCAAGGTAATAAAGTTATCCTACCTTAAAATAATGATTCACTTATGTATATTGATTCTTTGAGGGCTTTTGCCAAGAGCAAGATTGAATAATGTTGCCAAATTTGGGATTATTTTCCAGGAACGCGGCTAGTTTCAAGGATACAAATAAACGATGTACTGGTGGCCTGTCAACATGCTACAAATTTAAAATAATTTAGGCACTGATGTTATAGTAGATAGTCTGGCTAAAGTTGTGAGTGTCATTTTGTTTGGGAAAAGCTCTGTATTCAGCCTCAAAAACTTGCCTTGGTGGTCAGACTAAAAATAAGCACAATATTTTAATTTAGAGCTCTATGCACAAGCTAATTATAGCTGAAGTTACTAGAGGGTATTATTTTTTAAAATCGAAAAATATTTTTTGAATTATGTATCTACACCAGCTTTTCGCCTATGTAACTCAAGTGACACGACACACTCGCAAGGGTAATCTTCAGCAGAATCCCACTGACCTGGGATACAGAGAGCAAATCAGGTTCTCTCTACAGAGCAATTGAAATGGGAATGGGGTTATCATCTGCATTCCATTGCTAACAGAGGGGCGCTACAAAGACTGGGATCAGTGTGGTGACTTACAGATGAGCCATGCAGCTTTTGAGATATAGTCAGAAATCCTACTTTCGTGAGGAGTTCTTCAAATGCAGTAGGTGTGTTTTATACCCTTAATAAAGATATTTTGTCACATTCAGTACACATGTCTTATAGCATGCTAATAGCATTGATGCATTACTCTGGTAAATGCTACTGAAAAACAAATGTTTCTTATTTTTCGGGCTTTCAGGAGAGCACCCTGCTTCCTGAGGCCCAAAGCCTGTAATATGAATACGGAAGCGAAAAGAACTTTTTAATAAAAACTGGTAGCCAAGCTTATAGTCTCGTTGATGTTGTGCATAAGGGATGATTGTGTACTGTATACTTTTTAACGGCTTGATGGCTCATCTGGGTGTCATCACCAGTGGCATAGTGAGGAAGGCAGGAGGAGCTGCTAAGCTCTCTCTCCCCTCCCCAGCGCAGTCGAGCTATTTTTTATCGTAAAGCCATGGGTTTGTCCTTCAACTGTGACCGGTTCGTGACCTGCCTAGTTTATGGATGACTTAGCAGAAGGCACTAGTGTGAGTGACAGACAGACAGACAGATTGATTCATGGTTTACTGATAAAACCCTCTCACGCTTCGCCCCACGCATTATCATTCACTTTGGGGATATGCTGTTATTTTCTTAGTTTTGCATGTGTATACTTATGTGCACACATACACACACGAATCTACATAAAGTATGACCGAAGTGACCTTCCCCTCACACACCACCCCCACGCGAAAAATATTTTTTTTGCTACGTTACTGGCCTCCACATTCTGGCCACATTTATTCTAGCGCACCTCTGTTGGCGATGGAATGCAGATGATAGCCTTATTCTGATTTCAATTGCTCCGTATCAAGCTTGCTGTCTGTACCTCAGGTCTGTGGAATTCTGCTGAAGATTGCTCTTGCCAGTGCTTCATGCTACTTGAGTTAAGTAGGCGTAAAGCTGGTGGAGATTCATAATTTCAAAAAAAATACTTCTCGAGTTTGGAAAATCATACTTTGTAACTTCATCTATATTTAGCTAGTACGTAGAGCTTTCAAATGAAATGCCGTGCATATTTTTTGTTCGACTACCAAGGCAGGCTTTATGATCCATAATATAGAGCTTTTCCCCAAAAAATTTATATTAAAATTTTTTTTCAGACTATCTGCTAAACTTCAGTGCGTAAATTATTGTTAATTTATAGTATGTTAAACAGGTCACCAGCACATAATTTATTTGTATCCTTGGAATTTGCCACGTTTCCAGAAAATAATACCAAACTTGGCAACATTATTCAATCTTGCTTGTGGGAAAATCTCTTGAAGAATTTATATACATAAGTAAGTCATTATTTTTAATTAGATCATTTCATTACCTTGCCGGAAATGCCATCTATTGAGCTCCTCCTAAAACGTCTTTTGAAAAAAATTGTTGTGTGACGAAATTCAGCTCAGTTGGTGCCATACTACAGGTTCTCATAAATAAAGTAGAAAACTTTTGGCAACAGAATTAAAGGACAAGGACGAGTTTCACACTTCGAGAAACATGTGAAAATTTTTCCGCCAGATTTGTGATGGTCGAAGAAACGCTGGGTGATTTGGCATGGCATAACTCTAATCGTTGTATTGTGTAATACGTTGAATTGCTCCTTTGCTCTTTCTGCCTGTACTAATATTATTAGTCATTATTTTGGTGTGTTTATGAAGTTGTTTGTGCTTTCAGCCATTTTAATATGTATGATATCTATTATTTATTATGTGTGATCATTTATTTTTGTGCTGCAATCCAGTGCCCCTAACAAGGCTCGTTGGGAGTCTTGAAATAAATAAATAAATTAATAGTGATTGCACTGTTTTTTGCTTTGTACTCACCTGGTGTGGTTGCACTTACAAACGTTTTTCGTTTCTTTTTTTTTTCAGAAAAGAAGTCTGCACTATACTGTTACAATGGGACAACAACACAGGTGCTATGGGTATCTGGAAGTTATGATATTCTTTATTCGTATTAGAAATTCCAGATACAAAGACACTGAAATAAAAAAAAAATTTAGACAATTTTTTTTTCAGACAACTTGTAGAATGTCTGTGCTGTATTTTGTATTATGATCATAGAAAAACTAAATTTGATTTCAGTGAAGAAGAAACTTGTCCTTGTTGGTTTTTACACATTTGAATTCACTCCTAAATTTTTTATCATGTGCAGGTGTGGTCAAAAGTTCCCAGGTGAGGCTGCCACAAAATTAGTTAGAATGGTAGCCAGGAAAACTTTGAAGGACTTTGTACTTGCAGAAAATAAATCTGCTTATTACAAATGCCTCAAGTTGATTCTAATGAAATCATGTTTGTTATTTACCGATATGCAGCATTAGTATTATAAATAATGTGTGAGGAATGCCCCTACGGAGCAGCTGTCATTCCGTAGCAGCCATCACTTAATTTCTTCATTGTGGAGCCCTCAGACAAAGTTGAAAGGACTGTACGTACCATGTGTTCTACGTGATCTCTGGTCTACTATTTTCTTTTTACGGAAGTGGTTGACAGCATGTTACCTACGCCTTTTTACGTAATCAAGGGAAAATATTTTTTGCAGAGTATAAATTTGCAACTAGCCGTCTGTCGATAAGAGCCCAATTGAAACATTTTTCCCAGCCACGACAATCAAATAGAACTTGTAAATAGAAAAATGTGCAACACTAGGTATACTGTTAGAAATTATATTCAAAGACATCATAGTAATAATAATAGTTGCTTGGATTTACGTCCCAAACCCATGATATGGGTATGAGGGACGTCGTAGTGGAGGGCTCCAGAAATTTCTACCAACTGAGTTTTTTTTTAACATTCACTTATTAAATACCTATAAATAACTGCATACGGTTTTCTAAAACCTGCGCCCTTAATAAAGACCACATTTTAGAGGTTACAGGTTCATGTTTGTGCTAAATGTTGTTGCATAATCTAGAGGATTATTGTAACGTTTGCGACAGGGGTGACCATATTGACGCAAGGTAGGCTGGCAACTATAGTAGCCAGCCTCTGAAGAGGACAACGAAGTCGTTCTGTGTGCGCGTGCTCTGGTGTTCGCGTTTCTGGCCCTTGGGTTACGAAAGTAAACGCCCTATTTTGTACCTACGTGCCTGTGTCTTTGTGACAATATTATAAAATAGTTATGGGCACTTTGAGAATCAGATGCGTGTAAAATTAAGAAATTTATGTGTTTGATTATGTTTATTGAATGAATAGTACATTTATGGATATTTCACTAAGTGTATTTGTCAGCGCATATAGTTTGTCTCTTGGAGAATGTGTTCATCTATATGAATGTCATTTCTGCGTAAACGGTTGTACGTTGCGTATCCGCCTCCCCCGCGCCTCATGTCAGTTTTTCATGCTTCGAACGCCTCAACACTGCACCACCGAAGTCATATCCGGTGTTTCTTTGTTTGTTTTTTTTTTTCGTCACGTGCATTTGCTAACGGTGTAAGCGCCACAAAATTTGCCTGTTGCTTCCGGGACTTCAAAGATTGTGCAGCCTCGCCGCGGTGGTCTAGTGGCTAAGGTACTCGGCTGCTGACCCGCAGGTCGCGGGATCAAATCCCGGCTGCGGCAGCTGCATTTTCGATGGAGGCGGAAATGTTGTAGGCCCGTATACTCAGATTTGGGTGCACGTTAAAAGAACCCCAGGTGGTCGAAATTTCCGGAGCCCTCCACTACGGCGTCTCTCATAATCAAATGGTGGTTTTGGGACGTTAAACCCCACGAATCAATCAATCATCAATCAAGATTGTGCAACGCCGAGCGGTGTATACTTGGCGCATATATACGTCTGCGGAATGCGAACTGCGCGGGAATTCCTCGACCGCTAGTTGTACGTATCATTTCAAATGTTTTTGTAGCCTTGTTAACTTTGCCCCACATATATGATCGCTTGTATGAACTGAAGCAGGTGATATACGATACATGATCCAAAATATTACGTCGTACACCTACCCTCGGCGTGACGTCACAGTGTGTTTTGTTTTGACGCTGAAGTTCGTCTGTCAGCTTGCTTCATGCCAACCCGCTGGGTGAACATGTGCACTATTTAATCACATTTTCGTAAAAGGTTTGAAAAATTACATTTATCATCGTGTCGCAGTGGGCTGATTTTTATTTTTTTTTTGTAATTTGCCGAAAAAAAATTGCGATTTTTACCTTGGAGAGCCTAAGAATCGTCGGAGCTGTCAATTTAACGATCAAGTGCATCGTTTCAACCAGCTTCTTGTAAACGTAGCATATATATATATATATATATATATATATATATATATATATATATATATATATATATATATACACGTGTCGCAGATATCTCACATACACAGGGGGCATTGCAATGTCCCAATATTCGTTTGGTGTGTGTGCCGTAGTTCGAAGAGCCAAAGATTTCATGTTCAATCGCGGGAACAACTTTCTTTCAATGACAATGATGCAGGCGTTATCCCAGTTGATGCTGTGCCGGGTAGAGGCCACATGTTCTGCACGTGGTGTCCACACAGAACCGCGAGAAATTTTAGCGCTACGTCTACGTCTCAAAACCACCGTATGGTTATGAGAGACGCCGTAGTGGAGGGCTCCGGAAATTTCGACTACCTGGGGTTCTTTAACACTCACCCAAATGTGAGCAGACGGGCCTACAACATTTTTGCCTCCATCTAAAATGCAGCCACCGCAGCCAGGATTTGATACCGCGACCTGCGGATCAGCAGCCGAGTACCTTAGCCACTAGGGGGCTTCTAAACGCAGCACTTTCTACGGATCACCTGTCTAGCAGCGTTATCCAGTGACCGCGCATGCGTTGTCATTCATCGCTTGAAACTTGTTGGCCACGCGCAGGAGATAATGACAAATTTATAATGTAATTGAACTGTCACTGATTCGTGGCTTTCCTCTGAGTTTCACTTCTGTCACTGAAACCCATCTAGAGTTCAAGACGCGTTTATGCCTGTAGTTTCTATGTGTACTATATTCTGTCGCATCTTACGTTATTCTACGAAAGAAGGCACAGAATTTTGAAGCATTGTAGCAAAAAAGCCATTTGGGCTGCTTTGCTAAAATTTCTCGCGGTTCTGTGTGGACACCACGTGCAGAACATGTGGCCTCTACCCGGCACAGCATCAACTGGGATAACGCCTGCATCATTGTCATTGAAAGAAAGTTGTTCCCGCGATTGAACATGAAATCTTTGGCTCTTCGAACTACGGCACACACACCAAACGAATATTGGGACATTGCATGCCCCCTGTGTATGTGAGATATCTGCGACACGTGTAATAGGTCATGTGCTGTCATTGTGAACAAGGCTCCTGTGCAGGAGCTAAGGAAGTCTTTTTAAAATTTCCGTGCTTTTAAATTGGTCGGCGTACATACATCATGAAGTAAAACCATGGACATGAAGCAACTGTGCGATTGATGCGCTCTATCATCCTTGAACCAACCCTGCAGACTTCGTTGTTGTTGCTTTCCGTCTGCTTCGTTGCCGCTAAATAGGTGTTACAATACTCTCCTATTATAGCAATAATGTGTTTTCGATAGAGGAGAGAATGCACCTGGCCCTTAACCGCACCGCAAAACATCATCATCCACTTAGAATTTTTGATTTTTTTACGGATATACTATACCCATCACAGGTGGGCCACGAAACATGAGCGTTAGAATGTCTGGCGCAAAGCTTGATCATTGGACTGTCAGCGTTGTAACATTCGTGCATTAGATGTGGATTCTTGTCTCTCCTGTGCGGCGTGCTGTAGTTGCCTTCTATTTCACCTAATAGGTATGATATAGTTCTTCTTGTTAACTTCAAAAACTGAGGTTGAGTTTACCGATGGCTTTTTTTTTCGTCTAGTTGTCTGTCATCTTCATGATATGTAAAATTACTTCACGCGTAGCATAATAATTCTTCAGTTTTAACGTCCTCAAACCACGATTCCGAGCACTCGTGGTTCTCTAACGTGCACTTGAAGCCCGGCGTCGAGCATTTCGCCGCCAACTAAATGCGGCCACCAAGGCCGCGATTCCATCCCGCGATCTTCAGCTCGGCTGTCGAGCACCATATAGCAACGACCACGGCAGGTCTATATCGCGCGCGTAACAACTTCTAAATTGCATGTTCGAAGAAGGGGAATATTCGACGTCTCGTTTACTTACTTTACGCAACATATTCACTACGGATGTGTCCTTATCATCAGGAGCGTAGCCAGAAATATTTTCGGGGGGGGGGGGGGGGGGTGTCATATATTTATGTTCGTTCGAGCTTTTGTATGTACGTGTGCGTGTACTTTGCGAAATTAGGGAATTTCCCGGGGGGTGGGTGAGGTACTGACCCCCTTCCTTGGCTACGCTACTGATTAAATGTATGTTCACATATACGAAAGAAGGGAAATCGTTCGAGAGGCTCGTTTCTTTGTTAGACGCAGCTAACGAAGAAAACTGCGTACAAAACGACGCGCAGGCGAGACAAGAACGCGGAACTTATGCATGTCTATTACACAATGCCGACATGCCAGAGCTTTGCGCCAGATGTTGATGTTTCATATCCCACCTGTGGTAGGTAGCATATCCTTTAGAAAAATTTTCAAAAAAAATTCTAGGGTGATGAAAAATGATGTCGTACAGCTGAGGGCCAGCTGTGGCCTTTGCATGCGCATAGTTATAATTTAGGCGCTCGTGAAGTTTCTGCGAGCGACCCGCCTCGTCGAACTTTTGTGACATTCCAGTGCTCTCTCTCTCTCTCTCTCTCTCTCTCTCTAATTCCCTATTCCTAACTTAACTGTCTCCCATTAACCCATTTCCCAGCGCAGCATAGCAAGCCAGATACTTGCCGCCTTTCTTCATACCACCTCTCTCTCAGTCTGTGTGCTTTTAGTTATCTATAAAAATGAATATGGTATTTTGAATAGTGCGCATATGCATTACACATAAAACGATGAACTTAAGATGCAGAAACGCATATAAGAAGTTTCCCTAGTGTTTCTACCTGGTGAAAGAGAAAAATAGAGGTGCCACAGGGAGAAGAAAAAACAGAAGCACATTTTATAAAAGCCCAAAATAGACCGGGTGTTTCAAGAAATGTGTCCGAATTATCAAAAATCTGGAAAATGTGATATCAGCTCGTTACTTTCGCAGTTGCTTCTTCCGTAGCCGCAAGTATTTTGAAATGGCTAAAGACATCACTTGGGACACCAATTAATTTAATTAACATTCTTTATTAACGGAGTTAGGGGGCATTTCAAATGGGAGAATTAAATTCCTTCATTCGAAGAACCCGTCGCAGCTTTGAGA